TATTTTCCTTAACATTTGGTAATCATTTTGTAGCTCTTGAAAGCCCTGTCTCTTCTGAAAATATGAGACTCTTTTGGTAAATGAACGCTGTTAACCTGTGAGCGGATTCCGATATTGATAAAGCTTCTGTTCTAGGTAGAAATGTCGAGAAGAGGTCTTGAAACATGGCCTGAAAGAGGTCCAGATGCTTTATTCTTACTTAGAGGAAGATGAAATTGAATTTTATAAAGTGCTCTGAGATGATTTTTATTTAGGGCCGTTTTACGTGCAAACCGTCCCCCCTCCTTTAATCATTTCAAAAATGTTTACACATTACTTTTAATCAGCTTATTTGATTCATTTAACAACGTAATGCTGAAAAAAGTTATTTATATTGTCATATACATCTTCAGTGCATAACTTTTATTCTTTTTTTAATGATATGCTAATGACGATCTGTCACAGCCCAATGGTGACTTAATAACGAACTATTCAATATTAAATATTAAATATTTTAAATATTAATTATTAATTATTATTTATCAATTATTTATTCCCCATTTTCCTAATTAGCTAATTAATTAATTTGTTTGTAATGGTCTGTAATGGAGACGCTCGTTGCTATGGAAACATATCCAATAATGCATGGTTTCGCGCCATATGGTTGCTAACGAGCTATAGGAAAGCACTCAGTTCTTAATGTTCTCCGTTGCTAGGGAAATGCAGTCAATGACCTTTGACCCAGGTTGCTAAGGTCTATAATGGGAGCCTGCGTTGCTATGGTCTGTAATGGGAGCCTAGGGGGACACAGTCGGCAGAAAAAGGGGGCCAGGAGCAATCCTTAGAATTAATATAGCTAATAACTTGATATTATGTATAATTATGGTTCTCATTTGATACTGATTATCTGTGCCTATTTAGCCTCTTCTAATGTTGAAGTTTCGGATAAATAGGGTTTTTACTGAATTTTTCAACAAAATCCCGTACTACCCTCAGGTCACGTTGAAAGTTGAATTTTTAGTTTTGGCTTGAAACTTTGCACAAATAATGCTTTCAACGAAACTAGTTCATTGTGAAAGTTTCAGCCTTTTTCGTTGCTTCTTTGGTGATATACTGACAAAAGCACAAAATTTGCTTTCTCACACAACAGAATTTTGAATATGAGTATCTCACGACAGAAGCAACGAAAAAGGATGAAATTTTCACAATTAACTAGTTTCATTGAAAGCATTATTTGCGCAAAGTTTCAAGTCAAAATTAAAAATTCAACTTTCAATGTGACCTGAGGGGAAAGTACAGGGTTTTGTTGAAAAATTCAGTAAAAATTCGATATTATAAGGATGAAGGCCTGGAAAACCATATCATTCTAGACGTTTTCTACGCTCTTCAGTTCTCATCGAATGAACATAGTCCAAAGTGAGAAACGACTTAGTACCTGGAGATGTTTCCTCGCGAGTTATCAAGGTTTCCCCTGAAGAGTCTAAAGTTAGAAACTATCGATAGGTTATATTTAGAACCAAACAACCGTTGTAGCAGTTTAAAAATTTATGCATTTGAGCTTGTATTGTCTATTGGAAACGATTGGAAACCTAATCGATCTAACAGATAAGTATTTATTATACAAATTCTGCGGAACTGATCTGCATGACAGGTTATATTTGCGACGTCGTATCTCAGTAAGGGTTTACGTGCGCATCAAATTCCGCAAACGAATTGCATTATTCACTAATCGTTATTTTTTAGTACATTACGACCAGATTTTTGGCTCTATTAGAGCAGAAGGAACTTCAGACAGTCCGAAAGGCCTGTACTATATAGTAAACATATAAAGCTAAATAACTGCATAATATCTAATGGATATGATTAGATCTTTAATTAGAAACATGAACTTTACTTCTAGGGCCCTATCAGTGACATTCACCTATTTTACCTACTGTGTGTTAACTGCTGCAGGACAGCCACTCGCTTACAACCAGAATCCAAGATGCAGTTAAATGCAGGACCATAATAGCTTTAATGCTAACTACGATATAGGTTCAGATCTCACAAATCGATTTGGTCGCCTGGTTGCCCACCGTGGGGGTGGGGGGGAGCCGCTAAACCTCGATTTAAAACTTACACTCAATATTTTCTTCGAAAATATATGTGAGTTCCACAAAAGAAGAGTATTGAAGAATTATTTTACATGTGATATAAAATAGACTCTGAAATATTTTTCTCTAGATCGGAACAGAAAAACGTTTTAACAAGAGACCAAGATCAAAAATACTTAGTCCCATACATCTCTAGTAGTGATGTATTATTTTAAAATAATCTTGTTCATTTTTCTATATTTTCATAGATACTAAATTTATTTCTGGCACTTTTACTTGCATCATTTGGCTCAAGTGTTTTAACTGAAAAAGAAGATGATGAAGAAGAAAATAAAATTGCTGAAGCACTTAATCGTATTCAACGATTTATTGATTTTCTAATTACATTTATTTTACGTTTGTTTCATCGAAAGAAACAAATATTAAAGGATATTAATAATATTGTAGTTGATAATCAAGTTTGTTTTACTAATTGATTTTTCTTATTCAATTTAATTAAATTTTTTTTTCTTCTTTTCTTTAGTTATTATCAACTACAAAAGAATCAACTAATAATCTTACTTTACAAACATTATATCAATCAGAAGATTTGAATATTTCAGTAGTTTTAAATAATGATTCATTAATAAAACATGATAATATTGAAATACAACCAATGAATAATAATTCTATATCTCCTTCTCCATGGCAAATTCTTCATATACCACCAGATTGTTTTCCTAATATAATATCAAAACATTTTATTTGTTGTGATAAATATATTTCAAAATCTATTCAAGAACAATGGACATATTTTCGTAGTTTAATTTATTATATTGTTGAACATCAATATTTTGAATATCTTATTATTATTAGTATATTAGCTAGTAGTACAACTTTAGTAAGTTAAGATAATAAAACGAATAAATTCGGAACAAAAAACAAAAAATCTTTAATTTTGTTTTTTTTTGTCTTTCTACACAAAGGCTTTAGAAGATGTCAATACACGGCAACAACCAAAATTTTTATTTATTTTAACTATATTTGATAAAATTTTTACAGTTATTTTTACAATTGAATTAATATTAAAATGGTTTGCTTATGGTATAACAAATTATTTTACAAATGGTTGGAATAAATTAGATTTTATTATTGTTATTGTTAGTATACTTGGAACTATTCTTGATTTACTTGGTATAGCTGATATTCCAATATTTAAATCAATGAGAACATTAAGAGCTTTACGTCCATTAAAAGCACTATCAAGATTTGAAGGAATTCGAGTATAAATAATTATCAATTGAATTTTTTTTTTTGTTTTATATTTATTTTAATTTGATTTCTAAATAGATTGTTGTTAATGCATTATTTGGTGCTATACCATCAATATTTAATGTTTTACTTGTTTGTCTTGTATTTTGGTTAATATTTTCAATAATGGGTGTACAATTATTTGGTGGAAAATTTTATAAATGTGTTTATGTTGATACACATAATCGTGTTAATATATCAGAAAATATTAAAAATAAAATTGATTGTTTAAATAGAAATTTTACATGGGAAAATTCACGAATTAATTTTGATAATGTTCTTATTGGTTATTTAGCTTTATTTCAAGTTGTAAGTTATGAAATTTTAATTGAATAAAAATAAAAATAATGTATTTTCAATTAGAATGATTAAACAAAAAAAAAAAAAAAATTATCACATTTGAAAAAATAAAATAAAAAATGTTATAAAGAATTTTCTTTCTTTTTTTTTCATTGAGACAAACCATCGTGTTGTAAACTATACTATATTTATATGTCTGTTATGTATTGTATTTTCGAATAAGATCCATAAAAATATTCTCATTTAATCTACAACATATTAAGAAATAATCTTATGAAAATAATTATACTTTTCATGCGTATGAAACAAATATCTTAGAAAAATATGGTCTGAAACTTTGGATTAACCCTTACAGACAGTGACAGACGCTAGTTAAGGATCATGATATTACATAAGCTGTGAATCCATGGTTTTTTGTTTTGTTTTGTAGATTTGAACTTGACAGAGTTCGAGTCTGAAAGAACTCCCAAGCCTCTATTGGTTTTATTACGTATATGAATGATATTCTTATATTGCAATTCTGAAGGATTAAGTAAAAGAATGATAAAGAAATGTATTCCGAAATAGATCTTCTAGTAATTAGTAATAGCAATCATATTGTGTTTAGAAATCTGTATGACCATGTTTTGTTTTGGTTCTTGTTTCGATTTAGAGAAAGTTTTTTAAGGAAAGAAGGGTCATCTTTAATTGAATTATGTTCTGATTAAATATGGTTTATAAGATAATATGCTTAAAAACCGTAGAATATTTAAGTATAATCTTTAATTTTGATTCGAACAAATTCTTTTCTCATTATGCTAATCTCGGTGACGAAGATCGAAACTAAAATTGACCATGCTCATTTTTGAACCCATTTTCCTCTCTACAAATATGACAGACTCTAGTCGAAGACAAAGATCATCATATACATTTTTTAATAGACTATCACAGATCTAATATTAGTAACGGCTTCTTACAACATACTAATATTTCTTCATTATATTTATCGAGGAATAAGCAAAAGGATGGTGAAGAAAATAGCAGATGCATTGTGTTTTATATTTTGAACCTGCAGAGATTCCGCTAGCTAACAGCTCGTTTTGAATAGTTTAGTTTGCAAATATTTGCATAGTTGTTTTGATAATAATTAAAATTTTTTATTTTTGTTCAAATAGGCAACTTTCAAAGGTTGGATTGAAATCATATCTGATGCAACTGATGCTAAAGACGTACGTTACTATTTCTATTAATTAGTTTATTTTTTGTTTTTATAATACAATTTTTTTAGATAGATATCCAACCTGAATATGAAACTAATGTTTATATTCTTCTTTATTTTGTTTTCTTTATTATATTTGGTTCATTTTTTACTCTCAATTTATTTACTGGTGTTGTTATCGATAATTTTAATCAACAAAAACGAATGTTAAGTTTTCTTATTCATAAAATAATATACAACAAAAAAATAGTAAGATGTTGATTGTTTTGTTTTTAATTTTAGTTAGGAGCTGATGGTACATTAGACATGTTTATGACAGAAGATCAAAAAAAATATTATAATGCTATGAAAAAAATGGGTAGTAAAAAACCGACTAAAGCATTACCAAGACCGAGAGTAAATTTTTTTCAAACAGATGAATATATATATATATACGTATATGAAATGTTTGTTTATTTTAGTTTGCTCTTGGACGATTTCTTTTTGATGTAACAACAAATCAAAAATTTGATATATTTATAATGATATGTATTTTTCTTAATATGGTTTGTATGTGTCTTGAACATCATAATCAAAGTTATATTTATGATCTTGTTCTTGATTATATTAATACTTTATTTGTCATTATGTAAGTATATGATCAAGAATACACTTTACAATGTGTTAGAAAAATATGAATATTCATCCGTATGAACCAGAGATGTCCTAAGGATAGGGCAGGACTGCATAATGAATTGAAGCGAGAACATCAATGACACAGTTGCAACCGGTAACGATAAATGACCGGTCTGTTCCATTCTACGATTCTTTACTAGGCGGTAGAGACAAATTTTTCTAGAACAGGCCGGCTTAGATTTTATTTTATTTTTTTTGATATTTTGCATATCAAACTAGTTTTCTGATATAAAATGCCTATTTCTATCCAAGAGCATGAATTAGAATAATTGTATTGAGGTAATGTTCATCTAAAACCCCCTAATATATTCTATGAAATTACTTACATATGAATTTATTTCATTGAAACACAATGTCATCAATGTTTGTCATTGTAATTTATGACACAATTGACTTCATTTTGTATGATTTATACCATACCTTTCGCAGAGACAGATAGCAGCAAGCAACCCCGCCCCTGAGAGATCCCGAGCGCGTCTACAGTCCATTCATTCCCTCTTTTTCTGAGGAACACTTCATTAATAAGAAAAAGGAGTGTAGAATCAGTAGTCGTCTGCTATCCTATATCAATTGATCGTTGTAAAAGAGATGAAACCTGTAGCGGCGGATAGTGAAAAGCAAACTTTGAGTGCAATGCTTACAGAACTAGAACGTTAAACATGAGAGAGAGCCTTTATCATCATGTTGGCAACCTATGGAGGAAACCTCGTCATCTAAATGCCAGACAATTACGAGACCAAATGTAGCACGTCGGAAAATTTCCCAAGCCGCTTGAGACATCAAAATCTTTGTCATTAGCTTAAAGGAGTGGTGGCATCTTTTCAGCAAAACTTGAAGAAAGCCGAGTAGATGAAAGCAATTGTCTCGTCGTGTACTTGAATAGAGAAGGAAGTAACTGAGCCTTCGGTAGTGAAATCTTGAAAACCGTTGTTTTCACCTTGACGTCAACACTCGTTAATAAAAGTGCTTCACAAAAACTATTTAATAGTGACACTAAAACTATAAGTGATATCTGTAGTAATTCAGAGACAGCTATGACTCATTGAACGGCTAATATAGGCTTTGTAAGATGAAAAAAATGTACAATGACTAATGCCAGTCTACCGGCCTGTCAGGTCTGGTCTGACTAGTACCGGTCTGGGAAAAACCCTACTGATTGCAACTCTGATCGATGATACTCTTTAGATTCGACATGTTTTCCATTTTCGCGTCGAAATTTTGCAATTCATCTTATTCTGGAAAATTCGATGGAAATTGGACAAATTGTCAAAATTCAGGTGGCAAAATTCCTATTCTCGAAATTCCATTTTATATACGGAAGTGTTTATTATACGTTACACTTCCAGTATCTGTTAAAACATTTATTATTCTGCTCGTTTTTAGTACTATCGTAGAACTATAGGAAATATGCAAAAAGTCTACTCTGACATGAGGAGAAGCCATATTTATCCATCTCGCCTCAACCATACAAATACATTGAATTGAGATGCTCTATGTCCCCTTCCTTGTCCTGTCCTGCAGGATAGAACATGTTAGAGAAATACTTGTAGCATACACTAGGGTGAGTGCCATCGATTGGTATCTAAGAAGTGTTCGACAATTTTCCACCAATTTGTCTTCTGATATAGCCTTGACTCGTTACCTATCAATACATCGCATTATCTTCATGTTTCTTGTTATTTTTTCATCAAATTTTCTTGACATATTTAATCTCGTTCGCTATCAATCAGCAAATTAGATAGCCAGGCGAGAAGTAATTTACTTTTTTCAATTTTGAATAGTCAGAAATAATTCGTTCAGTGTTACCATGATTTATAACGATTTCTACTTGTATAGATCATTAATAAGATATCGAACTTGTTCAATATTTTATTTTTGATGTTGTCTCGATTACAGATCGACCACATCGTAGTTGATCTTCGATTTCTTCTCGACTTTCACGAATCAATTTCGATCATTTATTTAATAATTGTGTTTCAAGATGAATTCTGATCATTGAAATAGAATAAAATTTATCATACATGAATTTCGGTTGAGTACTCAATGCAGTCATATGTTATAATCATTTAACTAATGATGGTATACTGTCCATAGAATTTTTTTCTCAAAACTTTCTATGCATCACTGTAATACTAGTCTTACCATTTTTGGATATGCCGTTAGTAATATATGGCAAAAAAAGAATAAGTCGAATTCGATTGTTAGAAGCAGTAATTTGAATAGTACCACAAAGTTATAATTCACTCATATTCAAAACATTGAAAATTTCAAATACACAGAAAAAAAAAGGAATTCTAATGTTTAAGTTTTATGAAATTTGCGATTGGCTTTGTTATTTATTAATACTAATTTAGATTTACTATTGAATGTATCATGAAATTAATTGCATTAAATTTTAAATATTTTACTATTCCATGGAATGTATTTGATTTTATTATTGTAGTTGCATCTGTTCTTGGTATGTCGTTTTTTTTCGAATCATTTTTATTAGGAAAAAAAGAAAAATTTATTTGTTTTTCAAGGACAAGCATTAGGAGAAATTATGGCACAATTTGTGGTGAATCCAACATTATTACGTGTTGTTCGTGTTGCACGTGTTGGAAGAATCTTGCGTCTTGTAAAAGGTTTGATATCATACGAATACATAAATTATAGATTTTTAAAAAATTTTTTCTTTTTATACAGGTGCAAAAGGTATTCGAACATTACTTTTTGCATTAGCTGTTTCAATGCCTGCTTTATTTAATATTGGTCTTCTTCTTTTTCTTGTTATGTTTATTTATTCAATATTTGGTATGTCATTTTTTGCTTATGTAAGAAAATCAGCTGGTATAACAGATTTATTTAACTTTGAAACATTTCCTAATTCAATGATTGTACTTTTTCAAATGTGTACCACTGCTGGTTGGTCTGGTGTTTTTCAAGCATTAACAAATGATCAACCACCAGATTGTGATCCAACTTTAAATACACCATCACATAAAGGTGATTGTGGTAATTTAGCTATTGCAACACCATTTCTTGTCAGTTATGTTATAATTACTTCTCTTATTGTGGTAAGAATATAAATGAGTGTGGCCAATCGTCTGGTCGGATACTCCTATTTCTTCTTTTGTCGTACCGTTTCTATTGATTATCAGCAAGATATGTTTTTTTTGTACCAATCATAGTATTAATAAAGAGATAATCAAGCATCATCATACAATGCTTTAGTAGAATGCACTTTCATGTTTGCCGACTACATAAATTTTGTAGTGTAAAGGTGTAACGATCAACAATATATCTGAGGTGTACTTACAGCTAGATGTAGACATTTGCACAGTACGTAAATCACAGTAAGGGAAGGAGGATGTGAATGTGGATGTAAGTATTGGTATGTATGTTGGTGAAGAGAAGACTGACATCCACACCAATGCCCACACCTAAATTGCTACAACTGATTGTCGTAAATATTACAACCATTGTCAATCAGCGTTGATTTGCACATGTGTTTTTTCTGGAAAATTTGGTTTGTACACTAATTATTATGAACATTACAATAGATGTAATTATTGTATCCCAGAACCTGAACAAGAAAGACAACAGCTAAAGGAAGAAAAGCAGATTTCAAGTCTACAAGAACTTTAAATGTGATCTATTGGTAAGTCATATTTATCTGTTTAGCCAGTGCGTGAACTTGAATTCCATTATGTAGTACACCTCGAATACACAAAAATCAAGAATTATGATGTTTTATTGCTTTTGAATTCTAGAGCAACGTCCATGGTCAAAATGGGATTATAGTAATGATTCATGTATACAGCATACAGGACATGACATCGAATAAGTACAACAGTTATAGAGTATGTATGAACAATCGCTTGTAGAATATTGTGCGAATAGAAAACAACAACATACAAACAGCACAAATACACCATATTTATCTTCTATTAATCTACGCTCAACTACATTATGGTTTTTGAAGGACTATCACTCTGAACACTAGATAGCAACAGAGTTGAAGTTCGGTAGATCAACAGTGAATTATTTTTTATTTGTGATGATAAATAAAATTGTACTCTTTACGAGGCTATCTGATTCTTCGGTTTTGAACAAGATTTGTTATCGAAACAATAGTAGATCATCAGCTCTTTATCAATACTATAATTAGTAAAAAAATCATGTTTCTGATAACGAATAGAAGTTGTGCGATAAAAAAGAAATCAAGGAATTCAGTCAGACTGGTCACCCCCAAATATATACTTTTTGGATCCGTTCGAATTTTTCTATTATTAATTTAGATAAACATGTATATTGCAGTAATATTAGAAAACTTTAATCAAGCGCAAGAAGATGTACAACAAGTATGTGATAAATGAAAGGAATATAAATATTTAAAAAAACTTTTTTTTAATTTGTTTTAGGGCTTAACCGATGATGACTATGATATGTATTATGAAAAATGGCAACGATTTGATCCATCAGGTTCACAATTCATAAAATATGATCAATTATCAGATTTTGTTGATGATCTCGAACCACCATTACGTATTTCTAAACCAAATCATTTAATACTTGTTCGTATGAATTTACCAATATGTGAATATGATCGTATGCATTGTGTTGATATACTTGATGGTCTCACAAAATATTTTCTTGGTACACTTGATACAGAGATAGCAAGTAATGAAATTGATGCACCAATTGATATAAAAAAAGATCGTCCTAAACATTATCATCCAATATCAACAACAATACAACGACAACGTGAACTTTATCTAATTCGTTTAATCTTAAGACGTTTTCGAAACAATGTTGAACGACGTCGCAATGAACGAAAACATAGAGAATTAACATTTGAATAAATTACACTTAATGAACAGAATGAATCAAATGAGTTAAAGACAATAGAATTCGTATTGAACGATAATCAAAGTCATGAAACAAATTAAAGAATGTCGAAATAATCAAAATAAAAATGAATACAAACCTTTTTT